GTAAAAGTAGTTGTCGGGCTTGGGGCGGAGCTCAGCGGGCAGCTCCTCAAGGACGCACTCGAGGATGGCGTCGATGGACTTTTGCTTGGAGCCGTCGCGGTGCCAGATGGAGATGAGGTGGGAGTTGAAGCGGACCGAGAGACCTACGCCGCAGATCTGGTCGTCTGAAGAAAGGTATTCCGTTAGCAATCCCGCAGTTCGTGTACGTTAGCAGAGGCAAAGGGAACTCACTGTCGTCGAGGACGCTCTGCAGCTTCTCGCCAATGGCCAGCAGCTGCACACGGGTCCAGACGTCCGGGCCAATGTTCTTGGGAACGCGGAAGGTCCAGGCGCCACCGTTGATGTTGCGGCGGTCCTCCCAGATGGGCTTGAAGCCCTGCTTGAAGAGGTAGATGGACTCGCGCATCTTGATCTGGTCGACGGGGGTGTTGTTGTTGTACTTCCAAAAGTCCTGGACCGACTCGATCTGGGAGCCAAGCTGCTCCAGCTGCACCTTGTACTCCTCGTCATTGCTCGCCTTCTGGTCCTTGTTTTGCCTGCGAGAGGATGGTGTCAGTCAGGTGCTGAGGCCTCGGGGAGGTTCAGGGTGGTGGTGTTGTTCGTTGCGGGGCTGAATGCGCAGCAGGAAAGCAAACATGCTGGAGGGATTTCGGGAAGGCTTACTTGTCAAAGTAGACGTTCCAGTAGTGTTGTGTCGGCAGCGGGCGCATGGCCTTGAGGAAGTTGCGCTTCGCATCGTCACGCTGGTCGGCCGGGGAGCTGACGCTGGGCGAGTTGGGGTCGGTGGTGCTCTGGGACAGGCCCGAGAGGCCACGGGTGAAGAGCGCGGGTCTGGTAGCCATGGTTGCGGTCGATACGAGGGGTATAGAAGAACGCAAAGAAGGACGAAGGGCAGAACGACAGACTGAGAGTGACAGGAGGTGTCAAGAAGGTGAAATGTCGGGCTCACGAGTAACCTGTCGGCTCGTACGTTGTGGACGGCTGCGGCAAGACCTGGCACCTGGTCGGGGATCGGGGGTCGGGTGGACGTGGCCGAGAGAGAGAGAGAGAGAGGGAGCCGTTTGGCTTGCTGTTCGTTCGTTGGCTCGGTGGTCTGCGGCAGTGCCTAATGTAGCAACGAGGGGCAGAAGTGGGCAGCCCCCGTGTGGCTCTTTAGTGGAGGGACTGGGGGGTTGGACGACGTGGGCTTATTGCTGTCGTTGCTGTTGGTGCTGTTGGTCGTTTTTGACGGCGGGGTCTGCGTTGCGGTGCGGGAAAAGAGGCGTCGTGGGCTGTTGGATTTCACCAATGAACAGCGACCAAAGTCTTTGGTGGTTGGTTTGGCGGATTCAAGGGACGGTAGCAGGAGCAATCGAGGGGTGGCGTGTTCTCGATTATTCAGAGATGAATCTCGGCGATGGCAAGAAATCCACACAATATGTCCTGGTTGCTTTACAGCTGCTGACGCTTTGTGTTCCTCCAATGTCGGCCGGGCTCAATTCAGTTCGGGCACGGGACGAGATAAGAACGAAACCGTAAACCGTAAAGGAACCCTTTCAAAAGAGACAGGTTGAGTGAGAGGGAGTCGGAAACAAGGGTTCAGCGGTTGACAGCAACGGCGGACGGCGACAAACAACAGGCTTCTGCAACTTCTGAATGACTCGGCAGTCGGATCCAGGGAGCTTGGTGTCAAAGACAGGTGAACAACACGACAAGGCGGCGACCGAGGGAGAGGCGGTAGAGGAGAGAAAGGAGAAGAGAGGAAGAGAGAGAGCAGTAAGGTTGAGGGTAATAAGTATGTATCACCAACCATTCGGTCCTCGTCTCTCGTCGTAGCCAGCAGCAGCAGCAGCAGCGCCTCCCTCCACACACAAACACCCCTACTCCTACTTGTCTGCAGTGCTGTATTTGTTCTGGTACCTCACCAAAGGAGACAGCAACCCGGAGGGAACACGACACAAGACGATACGGCGCCCAGGCGCCGAGGTACCTTTCCGCGGCCTCAGCTTAGCTTTCAGGTACCGTACCTGACCTCCCCTCTGGATGTTAGGGGAGTTTGTCTGGAGATTGGACAGGGAGCATCGGAATCCGGTCGAGAGTCCTCTGATCTGAGGTCTGAAGCGCAACAGAGCAGGGAACCTGGCAGTTAATTGGCGAGTGACACCGGAAGGGGAAGTCGAGGGACCGGGGACCAGGCACAAGAGGAGGGGACCTGGAACCTGGATCTCATCTTTGCGACCGTGATACCGTCCCGAATGGAACTTGGGACTTGGGATCACCAGCGACGACGAATAGGGGCCCTGCCGGCGCGATACACACTGCTGCTGCTGCTGCTGTCTGTTGCTGGTGCTATTTGCCTGACCTTGCCATCAGCCGTTCCTGCCGCTGCGCGGCGTAATAAGTGGCAGCAGTCAGCAGCAATAGAGCACGCCGGTCATGACCCTAGGGTGACATTCCGTGGGCCGTCCGTCCCGAGTTTGGAGACGTGCGTTGCTCAGTGCTGGAACTGACGCTAGAATCAACAGGTACCGAAAGCCGCGTGAAGGCGAGCACCAGCGAGAGATGGACAGACACGGAGCACAGAGCACACGCAGAGGACACACAAGACACGAGATACAAAGGCAGAGACAGGGCAGAGCCAAGGTAGAGAGAGAAGCTTGGTGGGAACATCTTACCGGCCTGAAACATCGAGCCGCCTTTGCGGCCAGTAATAAGACGTTGCGACGAGGGGGAGGGGAACGGGGGGCTGCCGCGGGAGTAGGAGCAAAGACCGGATGTTCAGGTTCGAGAAGCTTGCTGGCTGCGGCACAGCGATGGACTGCGGGCTGGCACTGCTGTCCCTGACTTCCTGTTCAATGTTCGCTGTCCCCCCTCTGAGGCAATGGCGTGCCCACGACAAGGTGCCTATTCGTCAGGGACCTTGCGCACCGGCGACAGGGACATGGGCCAAGGCATGTGCCGTGCCGTGGAAATGCAGGGTTCACCGGCACCCGCCCCAGAGAGCGACGAGTTTAAGTGCACCGTAGCGAATTGATACGGATGCCGTGCGAACGTCTCGTCTCCTCTCCCCCATATGAATTAAGGAGGCAGGCACTCGACTGTTGAGGTATGATGTGCATCTGAGCCGACGTAAGCTGGAGCTTTTCATATTCGTCTTGGTTCGGACAATCCGTTCGATGGCCCCAAGGGTCTGGAACCGGGCCTCTGCGCTCGAGTTGCAAGTCATGTCAGTCAGCACCAAGCACTACGCAGTAACCTCGCTCAGGTAACGAACGTCCTCAGAGATTGACTTTCCAACGTCACCAGACGCAGATGCACCCATGAAATCAATTGAGTTGTCGGCGGACGTACACTCCGCTTCGCCCTCTCTCAGCAGCCTCTGAACCCTCTGCGCGCTTTCCACTGGAAGAAGAAAGGAAGGACCGAAATACCGAAGAACAAAAACCATCCGGCCAGAAGTCTCAGATGCCCATTCGTTCGCTCCCCCGACTTGAGTCTGCCCCGGCATCGAAGCCACCGCGCAAAGTAAAGACTAACTTGAGATGAATCTCAGGGGCCCAGATCGAACCTCTCTTCGATTTTGCCTTTTGCCCACCAGGCATGATGTGCAGGAAGTTCTCCCGGCCGCGGGTGCTCACCTCGCCCTGGGTGCCCGGTCCAAACCTCGCCCGTCCAGACAATCGGTTTCCCCCCGCCCATTGGACTGAACTAACTGACCCCCATTGCCAAACGGTTACATGGTCTCAGACACGTACCAACGCTGTCGTTTGCGCCCGGCTGTTGCGAAGCGGAACCGGCGAGCAGTCACTTCTCTGTAGGAGATGGGCTGGTGACAGGTTGCAGATCACCACATCTGACAGACAGATCATTCGTTTGTCTTCTTCCCGTGGGCCCCCTTCGAGACAACGACCCGCGCGCAACGTTAAAAGACTGGAAGCGTTTGCCAAGCACCGCTCCTCTGTAACTATGCAACCCAATACGCCCATTCTCAAACTGCACGAACTCAAGATCTTGAACACACAAGAGATAACTCCATCCAATGTCCCAAGAGTCCAAACCCAATCTCCGCACAGAGAGACAGACCACACAACAGGCATGAATGGGCTCTAGCGCTTCCGCGTCAGAGACTGCCGCCAGATAAACGACTCTACTCGTCCACAGAGTCCACATCTGCTCTCCACGACTGTCAATCCAGTCAGTGAACGGGATGTTGTGCAGACTACGGTTGTACCTTGCGTAAGTAATGGGCACGTCTCGCTCGTCCCGTCAAAGTTTCGATTCGCCGCCGTTGCACACGTTGCCGCCGGATGGCGGAAGAACCACGTCAGAACAAATCATAGTTCGAGACAAACGCTCTTCCGTCGTCTCTTCCGAAAAAGCCTCCTTCCCTGGGGGAGTTCACACGTTCGTTCCCAACCAACCCTAACAGCGGGATCCCTTCCAGAACGCCCTTCTTTCTCGCCGTGCTCGCCCCTTTCAAACCGTACCTGAGCTGCAGGCCGTGGGGACGGGGATATCCCAATCACGCCAGCCCGGCCGCTAACCATGCCAATCGGCCCTGACAGCACGTATATCGTCCACCTTGTTCCATGTTGCCCATCTTGAGGCGCCGTCTGGATGGATACCTAGTTTGAGATCACGTCTGTGTGAGAGAGAGGAGAGGAGCCAGAGGGGAGAGAAGACCCGCCCACTTCCCTACGGAATGACAGCCCGGCTGGCTTTGCTTCACGCGTTTCGATCATGACGTATCCATGGAACTTTGTTATCTACATACATTTGGGAGGGCATTTCTACTTGTCCCACACTACGTTATCCTATCCTACGTTATCCTAATTCGTCTCTCTCATGCCGTGCTAACCTAACATACGGGCTCGTGCATGTGCGAAACGACTGTCGTCCATAACAGCCCTGTACCCTGAATCGAAGACTCCCTAAACACCATGCTGTTATCATCGTGATTCTGACACCACACGCACATATACCAATAGCCGCACTTGTTCGTAATTCTCCTTCTTGTCTCGTTACGCATTCAGCGCACCTGCCAATACGTCGCCAACCCATCGCTCCTTGTCGTCTCCGATTTTTCGTCTGAACATGCCCAGGTCGCTCAGCAGGCTGCGCATATAATCCTGCATGTCGTTGGCATTGTCCTCCATGACATCTGAGTCGTAAGCCGTATCGTCCGAGTCGTCGTATAATGACTCGCCGTCCTCGGCATTCTCCTTATCCTCCTGCCCCGCCTTGGCCTTCTCAGTCTCGTCTTCCTCTTCAGTTGCCGGCTTGACGGTGACGGCGGGGATCGGGTTCTTGAGACTGTCGAGAGCCAGCTTGAGATGCAGGCGAAGGGCTTCATTCTCCGTCTGCAGGCTTCGGATCTTTCCCTCTGCGACGAGACTGCGCTCCTCCATCATGCGCTGCATGGTCACCACGCGGTTCTGATACTCCTCGAGCTTCTCTTCTTGGTCCATATTGTCCTTCTCGCGCCGGCGCGACTCCGATACAGACAATTGGAGAACGCGGATCTCCTCCGCCATGGCAGTAATTTGTGCATCACGCTCCGCCGACGAGATGTGGTCTTGGTTGACAATAGCGCGGGTGCGAATACGTTTGGCCTGGTCCGCATAACGCAGAGTCGAGAGAGTCTCCTCGTAGTCCGACGGTGCGATACAGGCAACCATTGCCGTTTTACTGTTACCTCCCAAAGAGTCCTTCAATAGCCACGTGAGAATCGAGTCTCTGTAAGGGACCACGTCCTTGCTCCGTTTTCTCGAGCCCGATTTGGCGTCCGCGAGCGCACCAATGACACGACCGAGAGTGGTCAGGGACTTGTTGATGTTGCTTCCCTCGCGGAGGCGCTGACCCGTCGCCTCTGTCGCTTTGGCGCGCTCACTGCCAGCCAGATCGACCAGTCGAATACGCGAGCTTCGTTCCGTCGTCTCGTCCGTCTCCATGTCATGGTGGATCTGCTTGAGCATAATGGTGAATACGGCGTGACTACGACTACTGGTGTCGTTCATCCTGGTGCTGGCCACGGTTCTTGATCTATCTCCCGCCGTCATGTACCGCAAGATCTCATTTAGATTGCGCACCGGCACCTCGGTCAGGTCCTTGATGTATGGCCCATCGGTTGGCGACTCTCTGATCTTGAGATAGTACGGCGGCTGATTGGGCACGACAGGCACGAGAAGGTCGCGCACGTGCTCGTTGTAGACCTCAAAGTACGACACTCTGACGTTGTAGGAGATGTTGGGCGTTTCGTTCTGCGCGGCCTCGATTCGCTCGAAGAGATCCTCGCACGTTCGAGGAATCAAGCCCGGCTGATCTGGTGTGCCCATCATCGTGTAACTCTTGCCTGAACCCGTCTGGCCGTAGGCGAAGATGCAAGTGTGGTAGCCCTCAAAGTTGTGGTCGAGGAACTCCTCTCCCAAGCTGTTGTAGACGTCCGACTGGTGCGCATAGTGTTTGTCGTTAAGGTCGTGGCTCCAGAACGAACTGTCAAAGGTGAACGTCTTTTCTTCAATAATCTTCCTGGACTTCGCCTTGGCGTTCGCTGGGTCGCTGTCGTTCGGCACAAGCAGCGTCGTCTGCTGGGTGACGGGGTCCATTTCCACCAGGCACTCGGCGCCGCGTTCGATCTCTATGCGCATCTGTCAATATACACTTCCTTTCATATGGTATGGGTCCTCGTACCTCTGGGCAGAAACGCCCGAACTCGGACGACGACCCGGACATTGCCCCCGTCCATCTTGACGGGCGCATCGTGCGACCGCAAGGACGGGGTGGAGGCAGACGAGTGAAGCTGAGGCATCTCGAAAACCGCCGACGGCATCAATCGAGGGTCGAGAGAGAGTCCACGCAAGGTGGTGGTAATTTCATCGAGAATCGCGCGGTAACGTTGACGATGTGTCGCCCACATCCCAAGACGAGGCGGTCGGGCTTGTTTACTTTGTTGCCCAATTGGGAGGTGACGTGGTGGGGCCGAGTTGCCAGGGCAGTGGCGCCACACTTGCTGTGTTTGTGCGCCTAAGCTGACACCCCTGCTGGCTGGCGACTGCTCTGCTTGGGGTTTCCAGTTGATGAGGCAAAAGAAAGGTGTTTCTAATTGCACAGAAAGAATGCATGGAAGAAGATTCGTGTTTGAAAGTCGATGTGCCGGAAAAGAATGACAGCTGTGTGCCGACGCAAAATTCAGAGAGGCGCTTGACACTGTGCTCTGCCGAGTAAACAATCGTGGCTTTAGGTGCACGCGCAAACGAAAATGTCTAAACATTCTATGCCTCTAGTAATGGTGTCAAAGTAACGAACGCCTTGCGCCACGCCGTCTAATCTTGCCTGATCTCTTGCGATCGTCTTGGCCCTGCCTAGCAGCTCTGGTGTCTTCCTTAGCCGGCCTAATTCCATTCCATAACCCGCTGCTCAACTCCACGTTGCTTATTCTACCAAAGGGGCTTTCATCGTCTTACGGCCGTCTCAGCCCCTTTCCAAGAAGCTCAGCTCCCACCTCCGATATCATCTTCTCATTAGGAAACTGCTTCTTCTTGGCGAGAACGGCATCTTCTGCGTCCATCGTCCTGAGCAAATCAGCGACCTCACTGTCTGATGGCGTGCAGTAGACCAAGTTGCCCAAAGCAAGCAACATGCCCTGCAAGGCCTCTGGCGACTTTTCTTCCTGACCTATCGCCTCCAACACTGACGCTGCCAGCTCCACGGAGTCGCCTTCGGGTAAAACGTCGCCTGTCTTCTCTCGTCTTGCTTTGTTGCTAGCTAATGCCAGGTTGAACATCAAGGAGGATGCAGAAACACGGATGTTATTGTGACTGTCGTCCAGAAAGCTCGAAGATATCAACTGAATGATTGGCGCTCTGAGACCCTCGTTGCGAAGGATCTCTTCGGGGTAGAGTGGTGTGGAGAAAAAGTTGCACGCCATCTGCAGCGTCACAAGTCGCAATGCGTAGGGGCAGTCGCTGTGAGAGTTGACAAACTTCAAAATGGCAAGGACTGTCTGGTGATCCTTCTCCTCGGCAAAGTAGCCGCTGAATCTTGCGTCGACAAGAGCGCATCTGAAAAGATCAACCACGGGGAAGAGTACCTCAGTCGGTAGTGAATGAATGGACTTCCTCAGGAACTCTGCAAACTGACTCAGATTTGGCAGAGTCGCAGCTGCCGGGCCTTGCTTATCACGGGCTTCAATAAATTGCTTGACACTATGCACAGCAGGATCCGTTGCTGTTGCTCCCATCTTCGCGAGCAGCTTCTCCAAAGGTGGTACTTTGGAGTAAAGCACTGGCCGCGCATTCGGGTTGGAAAAGCTCGGTAGGTTTAGGGACTCGTGGGGATGACGGGGGAAAGCCATTTGCAATAAGAGTTGAGTGTTGCCCCGAAGCGCAGCCGGGTCTGCCCCTGCCCACTCATTCTCCTTCTCTCCGTGCAGGTAAGTGACAAAAGTCGGCGTCGCTCGTGGGTAGTTCTTCTCCGGCAAGGGAGTAAGCTGGGCTACGTCAACCTTGATGAAAACTGCCTTGTTACCGGCTTCCGCTGAGAGCTCGTCAAAGGTTGGGGCGATGGCCCTGCAAGGAGGACATGTTGCCGAGGTGAATAGGACAACCGCGCAAGTCTTCTTTGCAGACTCGAGAGCAGTGTCGAGCTCCTGCGAACTGTGGACTACCTTGACGTTGGCTTGGGGCCTGGTTGGTTGCGGTGCTGAGCTATGTCCATTGGCAGTGTTGCCATTCTGAATGCCAAGAATCGAACCGTTTTGCCTGTTTGAAGTCATGGCCTGAGTCAGTTGGGGCATGAGCATTCTCCCAAACGGCGAGCTGAGAACGGCATCCGGCATTTTGATAATGTGCTCGGGGATGCCTTTTCCAAGCAGAAACTGGGCGAAGGAATCCGAGAAGTTGTTGCAATTGTGCCTCCACAAGTCGTAAGCCTGCGGACGAGTTAGAGGGAATTTGCATCAGGTTTCCACGCTGCACACTTGCCTCAATTGTAAAGATTGGCCTGAGAGAGTCTAGGAACTCTTCAATCACCTCCATTGGCAATTCTGTGCGGCCGAGGAAAATTCGTTCCATCGGCTGGCCCAGGTGAGAGGTCCCGGGAGTGATGTCGACGATGCCGCCATCGTAGACATATTCCCGACCATTGAGCTGGATCGAGGTGTGGTAGATTGCATCAAGGTGGAATCCCAGCATGCCCTGGGACATTTGTCGGGCAAGTCCTCTAGACAGGTCGTACGTCAAGAGATGCACGTCCATGTCGATGATAGGTGCAAGTCAAAAGCAAGGGGCAACTGTGTCTTGGTGGATACGAAGGTTGGAAGGGGGCGGGCTGTTGGTAGAGCTGAGGAAAATCGAGTTGATGGGAATCAAACAGTTGCCGCGCAGCCTAGGAAGTTGGCCTTGCGATTAAGTCTTTTGACGCTCAATATGCACTCTTGTAACGGGAGGCAACAGAGCATTCGTAGGCATGAACGAGAAGCTTCCAAGACTCAGCGTCGGATCTGGTAAGACGGGCGCCACGTGTGGCTTGACCAGATATCCTCGGCATCTTATCGCACGACCCATGAAAGTGCTTACCTAACAGCGTTCAACCCTCCCCATGCCACGAATGGAGACAACAGGCCCCGGCGGAGTTTATCAGTGGGAGACGATGGAAGTCGGGGGGCGAGGAGGTGGCACAGGGCAATTAGGGGGACCTCAGCAGGGAATGATAGGCCCCACCCCCTGAGCGCGGAGCCATTAAGAGTGACGCGAGATGGTCGTTGCAGCACTTTAGTGGCTTCGCGTCGTCCCCGCTGCCGCACCCAAGATTAGCAAACTGTCAGATTTAGCAGGGATTCTCTTGATTTTTTGATGACTTCCAAGCAAACCACACCTAACGAAAATCTGCTCGAGGCCACAGTACGGAGTACCGACTGCGAGAGGAGTACCGACGTACTTTTTAGCTACCTAGGTAATTTGCTATCTTGCATCCATCCCCCCTTGAAGCCCCCTACATATACGAAACTTCGTACTCGACACATCCATCTTCGTCCATCTGTTGGTGTTGTAAGACCGTCCCGTCCGCTCATTTTTCCTTCGGCCGCACGCACCTGCTGCTTTTTGCCTTCGAGTCGCCGTGCTCCCTTCGACATCGGTCCACGGTTCGGTTCAGTCCACTCCTTTGTCCTCCTACACAACGGCGACGTGCCTCGCATGCGTCCCCTTGTGTTCCCCTAAGCCACCACTCTTGTCTCCGAGGACACGCGACCAATGCGAAGGACATCTGTGTCGCTGCCGACCAAGCAACCCGCCCGAGATCCTCACGAGAAACCCGGTCGATTTGCACCAGCTCGAAAAACTGGTCTGTTTGCCAGCTTAGGAGATATGTCCCAAGCACAGAAGACCCGCTGGATGCGGACGGGCGCCATCGCCTTCTTCGTCGTCTTTCTCTTCTGGTACCTGTCTCCCAGAGGAGTCAATGTTCGCAGTCCTGGAGGTGCGCGATGCTTGAATTCCTGCGACAGAGCGATGCTAACACCTATCTCGCAGTCTCAACCGGTGGCGGTGGCCAAGTCCCGGCTGATGCCTCCTATGGCACTGAGAAGTGCTCTGTCTCCAGCTCCAATTCGAAGCCCATTGTCCAATATGTCCTGATGATCGACGCCGGCAGCACGGGATCCCGAATCCACGTCTACAAGTTCAACAACTGCGGCGCCACTCCCGAGCTCGAGCACGAGGAGTTCAAGATGACTGAGAAGTCTGTCGGCGGCCTGAGCAAGTATAAGGATGATCCCGAGGCCGCGGCCAAGACTCTCGATGCCTTGATGGAGGTTGCCATGCAGACCGTCCCCGACAAGCTCAAGTCCTGCAGCCCTGTCGCAGTGAAGGCGACTGCTGGTCTGCGTATGGTCGGCCCTGAGAACGCTCAGAAGATTCTCGACACCGTTCGCAACCACCTCGAGACCAAGTACCCCTTCCCCGTTGTTGGAAAGGAGGACAACGGTGTTGCTATCATGGATGGTGCCGATGAGGGTGTCTACGCCTGGATCACCACCAACTACCTTCTGGGCAAGATCGGCGGTCCCGACAAGAGCCCCACCGCTGCCGTCTTCGATCTCGGCGGTGGCTCGACTCAGATTGTGTTCGAGCCCACCTTTAAGGGAGCGCCCGAAGGCGGTATGCCTGAGAAGCTTGCTGAAGGCGACCACAAGTACGACCTCAAGTTTGGCGGACAGCAGTTCGAGCTGTACCAGCACTCCCATCTTGGATACGGCCTGATGAGCGCCCGTAAGGCCGTTCACAAGACCTTGGTCAACGAGATGTTCGAGAGCAAGAAGACCGATGACAGCTGGGTCAAGCAGCCCATTGTTCACCCCTGCATTGCTCCCGGCATGGTCAAGGAGGTTGAAGTTGAGCTGGACGAGGGACACCCTCTTGGCAAGGCCGTCACCTTCAACTTCACCGGCCCTTCCCAAGCCGCCCCCGCGCAGTGCCGCAACCTCGCCGAGAAGATCCTCAAGAAGGAAGAGTCCTGCAAGCTCGCTCCTTGCTCCTTCAACGGCGTCCACCAGCCTACCCTTGCCAAGACCTTCGCTCGCGAGGATGTCTACATCTTCTCCTACTTCTACGACCGCACCAAGCCTCTCGGTATGCCTGACTCTTTCACTCTTCGCGAGATGCACGATCTGGCCAACTCCGTTTGTGGCGGCGAGAAGGCCTGGGATGTGTTCTCCAGCGTCCCTGGCGCGCTCAAGGAGCTCCAAGACCGCCCCGAGCACTGCCTCGACCTTAATTTCATGATGGCCCTTCTCCACACTGGCTACGAGATGCCCATTGACCGTGAGGTCAAGATCGCCAAGAAGATCAAGGGCAACGAATTGGGTTGGTGCCTTGGTGCTAGGTGAGTGACTCCTATCTACAAATAACAGGCATCACAAACGCTAATACTTTATTTCATAGCTTGCCGCTCCTTTCTCCCGGCTCAGGCTGGAAGTGCAGAGTTGACCAGGTCAACTAAAGTCTCAAATTCTCGCACAAGACTGCACAAGCCTCCCCTGGTGTTGGCTGGCTTGTAGCATTATAGATTTTTAATTCCACGACAGAACCGGGAATGTTCGATTACGAGTTGTACAGGAGTGTCATGAAGGTCATATGGCGGGTGCAGGAACATGCATCAATACACAGACCCAAAAGGCGGGCGTTTCATGTCTTGTATGGTTTCCATGGGCATTATGGATTATAGGCTTGTTCGGACGTGACCACTTTAGAATAAAGTCGCTCACTGGATATCTTTTAAGCTTCCATCAAAGCGGTGCCGCAACCATGCCTAGCACGTCCTCAATCACGTCCTCGGGGCCCACGCCTTCGAGAATGGATTCAATGGCTTCCAGCTGGCTTCCCCACTGCATACTGCGTTCCTGTCGCGGGTGCGCTATGCGTATTCGGTGCAAGTAGACTTTTCTAACGGCCAGATGCACCAAGGCGGGTGTGACAAAGTCGAGTCGGTGTAGCGGAGCCAGGCATTTAAGCAACTGCTCTAGGTGCTTCGTCGCGGTCGGCTCGATGCCGCCGGCAACTGCGCGATGCATTCGTAGGTATGAGACTACATTCATTAGGTAGCGCAAGACGTCAACATCGATCTGGACATCTCGACTGCTCTTGGCGATGGCCGCAACATCCTGCAGCCGTCAGCATATGCCCAGACACTTGGCAAATGTAGAAACTTACGCCTTCACGGAACAGAGGGTTTTCGCTGACTGCGGGCAAATCACCGTTGATGCTTTTCTTGAGCACACTCTCGGTACTCGCCGTCTCGGCCCCATCGGCAGCATCGTACGCGTCGTCGAGATTGGGGAAACCGTCGTCCGGATCATGCCAGTGAGCAATGAAGAGGTAGTCGTTCAGGTGAAGCGTGACGTGAGCCTGGCCACCGCTTTCGGCGCCCAGGGCGGCGATGAAGAGAAACTGCTTCGGGGCCGTCTGGACGGAAGTGCGTGTGAAGATACGGCGGGTGCGGAGGAGCTCGAGAACCTGGATCTGCACGGCTCTTGGGGCGCGGTCGAGGTTCCGAGCCACGATGACATTGGCGATGGAGGAGCCACCGATGCCCTGGCCGGTCGGGCTGGTTGCCGTGACGGAGGTCAGAGGGGAGATGCCCGCGCGAGAAAAGTAGGAATCATTGCGGGTTCGCAGAGGCGAGCCTGATCTTGGTGCTGCTAGAGACTGCTGCGTGAGGATCGACGATGCAAAGTCATCCAGCGAGGTTTGCGGAGTGCAATTCACTACGGCGCATTTCAGACCGAAGGTCTTTGTTGCGATCTAAAACAGTGAGAAGTGGACCTCATGAGTGGGAAAGATGGATTGTTGGGCTCACCAGCTGTAGCTCCTCGACAAGCTCATCGAGGGCAGCGGGAGGCGTACTGACGATGCAGTGTTCTCGATTGACCAGGCACAGCAGGGCGGCCAGCTCCAAGTCGCTCAGGCCGTGGACCTTGTCCAGGAGGCCGTCTTCATCCGCCATGAGGATCTCGTCAAGTGTTGGTCGACAGTCCCATCAGCTCATCCTGGGCCACGCATATACTTGGTACACTTGCGGAGTGCTCGTCCACGATATACATGTGGTGTGAGGCGGTGACGGACGTTCTTTGCAAGTCGCTAAGACGTCCCGGAGCTACTAAAGAGAAGCTCATTCGCATGGACCGTCACTGAGAACCATGATAAAGGTGTGGCGTAGGCGTCATGCGGCCTGGCTAGGTGCCTTACCTAAGCGCCGTGCCCAAGTCATTCAATGCACCTTACCGGCCAACCACCCGCGCAGCCAACAGCGAGGGTCACAGTAGGTCTAGACGGGCTCCAGCGCCTTGGAGCACCGTCACTTGGCGTTCCTCCAGGTGCCTGCCCGCCATTTACGTCAGCCAGCTGGCACGTCAACAGCAGCATGCGCTCCTTTTCCTGGTTAGACCCAGTCCCCCAAGCAGCTCTTTGATAGGCTGAAACCTGCAAATGTGACGGGAGCTCTCAGTACCGCCTGCTTCCCTGTCAACCTCCACCATCACTTCCGTCTATCGATCATCGACCTGCACTCTACACCAACCAACCACCCCTGACGCACGACACCGATCCGTTTTCGACCACTTCGACATTCGAACCGATTCCTGACCCAGTCGCGACGCAGGATACAACTACCATCGCGCATCCGAAGGCCCGCCGACGCCCGACTTTTCCATTTACCATACATAGCGGACCCGACGCACCAGATCCACGATGTCATCGAG